GTCCACATCGAGTTGTGCTGTAGCTACTGAGAACATTTATTAATTAAAGAAATGTGTAGTAATGCAAGAAAAAACAATAAAATCTGATGTAAATTATCTGATTATCTTGAGACATTTTATTCAGTATCAACCTCAGTGATCAGGGAGTGCTTCAGCGTTAGTCACCATTGCTCTCCTGACTTTTCTATAATGTGGAGCTGAAGAGAAACTCATGAGCTTGGGGCATAAGTGCACTGTGAATACCGTCACCAATGCAGCTTGGATTTCAGTTTTAGCACTCACACACACACATTTCTATAATGTGGGGCTTATATATATTCTCTTCAAAGTCATGAAAGCAATGGTTTTATACTGAATAAAATGTCTCAAGATAATCAGAGAATTTAAATCAGACTTTATATTCTTGCAATACTACACATTTCTTGTTTTCCTTCCCTTCTGTGCAAAATTTCTTATTTTCTCAATAGATACAGCAGAACTTGATGTGACCTTGCAAACAAAGACAAGTCTGGATTCTTTACTGTACGAGAAACGAATACAAAGAAACACAAAACCCTTCAGTTTTCCGCAAGAATAACATTTCATCAGTGTGTTGCCTGTTTTCTGTTTTTTAACCTTGATACATGCTGAGTAAACATAATGCAAAAATATCAGCCCCTGACTAAATATGAGGACTTCCTACTGGTTCCGACTCTATACTTCACAGCAGGTTACCATGATAATATTAACAATAAGCAATTGTGCGTCAAAATCACATCCTAAAAGAAACAGCAAGTATTTAATTTACACCTGACTGGACCGAGCAGGATGTACTGTATAAGACAAAAGTTTAGTAAGAATCGATGCATGTGCTTGTAAATAATAATCATTCCCTTGATATGAGCTGTTATACGGCTGCTGGCCAATGGCTTTCACCTTATACCCTCTACATACTGGAGTTCATTTTGAGATATTTACATTACTCCTGTAAAGAGTAATGTAAAGACTAATGAGTGATTAATGACATGACGGTGTACAGTAACTTTGCAAAGGATTGGTGGGGACTAAATTTTGAAACTAGCTTTGCAATAGCTATTAATAAAAACATAGAAATACAATGGTTTTATAGTGCTTTATGGGACACTCAAAGACTGAGGTGAGGCTACCATCAGGCCTCTGACCACCACCAATCATTCATGCACTCACTAAACTCAGACAAAACAAATTATGGGCAGATGTCGAGCACATGTACAAAACAAACACTTTGTCTAACCCATGGATCTATAATAATAACTGGATAGGGTAGCTTAGAGCTGTCCCACCAATGGGCACAGGGGGCGCCCGAGGTGCTGCAGACAAAATTAATGTGGGGTACCCAGATAAAAGTCCCATAGATCTCAATGTAAACTAAAACAGCTCGACCTCAGCTGACAGAGAACCTACAGCTTTCACAAAGATCAGATTTTGTGGGGATTTTAGTGTCCCTTGTCATCCTGAACTTTTTTTCTTCTTAAATCCTACGGTTTTCTTTAAATCCACACTTTACTTCCACAAACTCTGCTCGTTTCCTTCCCCCTCTGACTTTGCTCTACCACTGCTCTGATCAGCAGCTCTGATTGGTCAGCGCGTGGCCGAGCCCCTCTGTGCACGTGCATGAGAGCGACACATGCGTATTTGGCGCAACGCATCATGGGAGATAATCCACTGCGCAGAACCGGGAGGACCAGACGATGCCCAAATATAGGCGAGTTCCTCTGATATGTCAGCGCCCGTGAAGTCCCATGCGCTACTGAGCACAAGCCATTCATTTGAATAGGGCGCCATCTTGGATCACTGGGGCTTGGTCTAACCCCACTTTGGCACCTTCCCTAGTTTACTTCTAAGATCTGGTTTAAGATTATTCAGATATATTTTACAGCATTTATTTATGCTGGGATGGTCCAACACAAAAATATGAAGACATCCAAAAATATATTGACTCTGATTAGCACTTTTCCCAAAAACCATGCTAAGTCAGTTCCCCTTCTGAGTAGCCTATTTCTGTGAAAGGAACCACAGGGAGAGGCAGAAGTCACCGCGCTGTCGATCAATGGACTTCCTCTTAACGAGAGCTGATGGAAGGCCTGGTCATGTGATCAATGCACACATTAATCTCACAGCCAGAGGGTGAAATATTACTATTTCCTGCCAATACATCATACCGGAATGACAGACCAATCAGGGAAACCCGCACACTACCAGCACACCACTGAGAGACAATGTTTTTACAACATAGTTCTTACACATTCTTTCAACCAACTCTCTCTGATGCAAAACTCCTCCATAGGTGGTGGAGAATGAACGTGCGAAGATTCTGTGGGACTTCCAGATACGGACCGACCAAATGGTAATGGCGAACCAACCTGACATTGTGGTGGTAGACAAAGGGCAGAAGAAAGCCGTGGTGGTGGACGTGGCAATTCTAAGCGATAGTAAAATCAGGAAAAAAGAACATGAAAAGCTTGAGACATACCAAGGGCTCAGAGAGGAGCTGGAGAGGACCTGGAAGGTAAAGGTGACAGTGGTGTCCGTGGTGATCGGTGCACTTGGGGCAGTGCCCCCTAAGCGGGAGGAGTGGTTACAGCAGATCCCTGGAACAACCTCAGAAATATCGGTCCAGAAATGTGCAGTGCTAGGAACAGAAAAGATTCTGCGCAGAGCTCAGAGAGGGATACCTGCCCATGGAGGGCGAACGTAGCAAAATGTTATATATGTTTATATTTATATATATATATAGTCTTTTTAAAGAATAGGATGGAAGTTAAACAGAGCTATTCAGCAACAGTTAATTTCAAAGGCCACATCAGTGCTATTATCCCGCAAAAATATCCCAAAAATGTCATATACAAATACCCACCGGAATTATAACTGCCATACGGAGATGTCATCAAATAAATAAAGCCAAAGGCTGATTTGTGTTGCTTAAAGGGCTTATTTTTGAGATGTTTGTTACGCTCTACTGGCAAAATGTGTGTGTAAGCCAATCCACACTGCTGTATCTTCCAAATTATACTGTGGGGACACTGGGCCTGCTCTGTCTGTCCTTGATTTTCTATTTTCCCAAGCTCGCCCCATTCCTTTTCTCTAAGTCTCTATCTGATAGCTCTGTATCTCCATTGCTGCTTTACCATTCTGTCACTTTGAGTCTGCTAGTCCCCTGCTCAGCTTTCTCTTCTCTCCCGCCCGACTTTGCTTTGTTCAGTCATTCTTAGTGGTCACACCAGGCACTTTTTTTCTACCCGCGACTTTGTGGGTTTGCTTATTACATTTTAATATTTTCATAAACTTGAGTCATAAAAATAAGACCATAACATAAACAACAAATAAAAAAAAATCATACACTCACACTTGCACACAGAAAACACCATATATACCAGGCATTAAACATAGTCCAGCATGTACTATTTTACATTAAGAGCTTAATATGGGCTACTATGGAATGTTATTCTAAAGCTCACAAAATATTCTATTCTAAACATATAACACAATTATCTGGGTTACATGAAACACCTTTTCACCATAACAACAGGATAACCCCTTGTGTCCTGTCTATCCCATATAAGGAAAAAGAGGCTGGGAACTACAGCATTACAAACGTAGCTTCATAGTCATGCATACATGATTTGCATCAGTAAGAAACGTGACTTTCACAAAATAATCTCATCTCCCAAATTACTAAAGTAGATAAAAATACAAACTTGCACACATATAAACACATAAACATATACCACTAATATCCATACAGCCCTTTATCAATTTATCTTTCTTTATGCTTATACTAAGATGCAGATTTTGGCGGTGCGTATTGTGGCAGATTGTTTGCTCTGGGGAACGTCTGTCTGGGTGGCGTACATGTGTGTTTTTGTCAGTCTGCGTCTTGTTTGGGTAAGGAATTAATCACTCAGATCTTCCCTCTAAATCAACACAAGGTTGTCTAAGATGGGCTGGAGACAGAAAAGCAATATTGATGGAGCGGATAAGATATTAGTCACACTATTTTCAGTATGCAGCAGAGGTACAAGTAATGGGTCTCTGTCTGATAAAACATACAGCGCTTAAATGGCCAGGTGAACAGGCAATGTACTGCTGTATGTTTAGAAGATCATTGCATGTCTACTCCAATTTGTCTGTGACCTAATGATGTGGCCATGCTATAGCCGTGGGTGCGCAACATGTTTAGTTTCAATGCCATAACAACATTGGCCTGAGGTAATATTCATAAAACCACAATGTAATAGAGAAAAGGGGGTTGTCAGTGCACTCTGCAGGCAGAACATGAAGCAAACCATATGTTCTCAGTCGCAGAAACCACAAGCAACTAGGCAACATCACATTCTATTAATGTTACATTAAAGACGGCACGTACTCCACCTACTACATTAGCCCGGCACTACTGCAGGGTCGGAATACATTATATTCAAAATTGAAAGCATGCAAAACAAGCTCAGCCTTAGTTACATAGCGACAAGGCACCTGAACAAAAGTGGACTAAAGCTATACCTTTCAGGTTTGGGAAGGGTACATGAAACACACAAACTAAAACAGGTATATGGCTTTGAAAAATATGTTGTGTGGATCATTATCTCTCAATTTGTTCATAGTAAAAAAACAAGTAATCATCTAAAACAATATGATCATGCAGTTCACCATAAAAAGGGCTTATGTGTATGATAAGTACTGTCACTTTTTTTTTTAAATGGCTATGTGACATTTTCTAAGCACAGACAACTTGAATGCAGGACAAAGCACATAAATCCATCAAGTACAGCTTCCCCCGGGTTCAGTATGTGTAGATGCCAGTAAAACATGGTTAAAACAGCATGCAGGCTGATTTTGTGTAAATCATACTTTCATGCATTTTCTGTAGTCCAAAACTGAATTGAAAAAAACAAAGAATATTACTTTGCCTGACTCTTAAACATCTCTCAATAAAACTCAAAGAAGAGCCAAGTCTGAGCACTGTTTCTCAGATCAACACCCACCTGTCATGCCTGGAGGAGTTTTCAGGAATTTCCCATTGAAATTCTGAATCACCACATCGCACTTCTCCGTCGACTCCATCCTACCAGACACAGAAGAAGTGAGACATATATGAATAAGTGCCTGTATGTGCTATCCTGATAATCTGACCGCATAAGCCTCCTGTTTAAGCATTGTGCAAATTTGTGTACGACTGCATGTGTGGATGCATGTTGTGTTTTTTTTTTAATTTTTCCAATGGTGTTTCCGTTTTGCTTTGTCCTCATTTAAAAGCCTCATTCAGTACGAAGTGTTGCGTGTCATGTCGTCTTTGTCTGCCCCCTATTCAGCTCTGCTTGCCCAATCACAGCTCAATGACTAATTGCCTGCTTGGCGCGGGAGAAGCCAGCGAATGCCTGTGTTGGAGAGACAAATGGTGACGATGAGACGGAGGCTTTTGTGGAGGAGGCGTGTGGGTCTGGGTGCTCTCCGAACACAAGCAGTGACCCTGAATGTAGCAGGCCTGCATTCTAATCACTGGCACACTCGCCGGTAACCGAGAGGACCACACAAATAGAGCAGCGAAAGCAGGCCAAGGGTACAGCAATGTGGAGAGCTTTTATTACAGGTTAAAGTCTGGCTGAGTATGACCAGCGGGACAAGACTATTTTGGTAACTAAAATGTATAGGTCAGCCTCTATGGGAGTTGTTCACATTCGTATTTAATACTGTTGGGCACAGAAATAGATCTTCCTGAACAGCTGTGTTGTGTGAATAGGAAAAGACACTAAATATACCTTGTAGATTAGATTAGCCTTTATTCTCCCCTTGGGTAAATTTGTCCTCTGGTTTGACCCATCTCTACAGCCGCGCTGGGGTAGACAGCAGACTGATGGATGGAAACCTTTAACTATTCACAGACACGCATCTAGACATGGGGAGAAGTATACCAACTACACAGAGAAATGGCCAATCCAAACCCAAATCGGAATCTTCTTGCTGAGAGGCGTGCGTGCCAACCACTGTGTGGCCTGTATTCATAGTATGTATGACTTGGTAGTGTTTCAAATAGTTACCAAACAAAACCCTCATATTTGAACCAGACTAAGACAGATTTTGAAGCTATTGATACATATGAAACTTGGAAAATTTAAATATAGTTCAAAAGTCCATTTACTTACAATGTGAAACTAATGTATGACAGAATAATTGCACACAAAGTGAGATACAAGCCTTTATTTGTTATAATGTTGATAAATAATCCCAAATAAAATATCTCAGAACATTAGAATTTTGTAATTATGGCTCACAGTCAATTTTTTGTGGATTGTGTACTGTATGTCACTTTGCATACACTCTATGTCATAAATTGGTTTCACATTTTAAGTTGAATTCCAGAAATAAAAACACTTTTGATGGATATTTAAGTTTCACCTGTATGTTGGTATAAAGTATTCACATTCAGTCCATGCCCATTTACTCAAGCTGCATACAATCTTCCTATTCTTGTTTTTCAAAAGATATATATATTTTTTTTACAGATATTTAACAAACTATTTCTAGGTATGGATCCTGAAGGACTTGGATTAAAAATGTTGTTTTGGTCCAAGATCAAACACTTGATAATCACTGTAGTTGGTTTACCTTGCAAAGCCGACTCCTCGGCTGAGGCCGTTAGCGTCTCGTAGTATCCGCGTGGAGATCACATGACCAAAGGGCTTCAGCATATTCTCCAGCTCCTGCTCGTCCATGGACACTGGCAGGTTTGAGATGTAGAGGTTTGTGGGGTCCTGCTCCTGTTGCTATGGAGACACAAAATAACAAACTAAACTGAGGAATTTCCAACATCAAGTATAATGGTAACAGTATCAGACATGACCTGTGAGCAACACAATACATTCCCACTGCATAGTTTGAGTGGTTTTTGTTTAATGTGTTGTCTGTTCTATTTGCTTAGACACCTAGAGGGATTTTATCTGGCATAGTTTCATAACAATCAATTGTGTTGCCCAAACGTTGACCTTATTTTGCACTAAACCAGATTTCTCCCCAATTAAACCTAAAATATAAATATTGTGTTTTACGTTCAAACAATAATAATGGTAAAATGTTAAGGGACCAATACTTTGTGGTCATATTCATTAAATACAGGAGACAGTCCAGACCACAATGTCGGTCCTCCTACATGGATTATAGCTATAAGAATATTATTAAACATTATAAATGTTTAAAAATTATTAAACATTATTAAAACTGTGTGCATTCACCGGTAAAAGCTTTTGATCTGAATTGTAACATACCAACTCATTGTTCCTCATGTGACTTTTATTTCAAACAAGCTTAAAATGATTTATTGTTTGATAGTTTTGGAAAGGAAATGAGCAGGAGATTGCATACATTTCACGTACAATTGTGCCTATGTCTGGTGGTTTGTTAGGTTTGGCCTGCACTGGGAGCATCATAAACTGCAGTGTACTTATATTATATTATAGGAGCAAAGCGGACAATATTTCATGTTCTTTGTGAGCTATAAAAAGATTACTCTATAAAACAGAGGATTTCCTCTCCCTGTGGCCAATGCGGTTTCAAAGTAATTTCATCCTAAGACAATATGTCCCAAACAAAATCTCACAGTGCTTCGCCCAATTTCTGCAAAAAGTGGGTCAGCAGTTTTGTTTCCAAGCATATTTCCAAAAGCAGTAACAAGAGGACGAAATGTTTTATGCATTGATCTTATTGTATTCTGTATTGTAAAGGCCTCTATGAAGATTGATTGATTGACTGATTGAATGCAAAATTGTCTCTCCAGCAGAGGTTTACTGTTAATAACATATGCAATAAATATACTTAGGCTCAGAAATTACTGCACGTAAATAAGTCTCTCCATTTAATCCTCATTTTGTGTCAATCTTGAAATCAAGAAAGAAATAGAGCAGTGCCATTCAAATATAACTCAGGTAAAAGTAAAACATAAACATTGAAATAAGTGAGACAACATCACAACATGTGGAACATCAGACAATGAAAAATTACAGTACATTAATGGCAAAAACAACATCTCACCACTGACCAGCAAAAATTCAGCCAAATCTGTTCATAGAAATCCAAAGCCTGACTTAGCCATCGCAGGAAGTCCCTCAAAGAGCTTTCACAAGGACATTAGCCATGTGAAGTTTTGGCACAGTGTGTGAATGAACTCTGTCTGACTTTGTCCAGCTCTCAAAGTTACTTCTCCTCTGCATGTTGCAAATGATGCAGCACTTGTTTCCCTGTTTCTTTGCCCTTTTGTTCGTTTTTCTCTCAGTAACATCTGCCGTTGGCTGGAGACTGTTTCACACACCCTGTCTGTGTAGTGTCGGCCTGCCAGCCAGTCACTCTGCCTTTTCAGCCTCATTAGACCTCATTGCTGCATCATTATAACAAGACTCTTGCCTTTTGTTGCTTCACGGTTAGCAGTGCAATGCATTGACACCTGCTGCATCCCAGTCCAGTGAGACACTTACACAGCAGACAAACAAGTTGTCTAGATATTCTTTTTCCAATATTGTGGTTATAATTTGTTTAAAAAATATTTTTGGGTGATCTTAATCTGCAACAATAAAGCACAATAAATAAAGATTAGTTACTCACTATTAGAATATGTCACGCAACACTTGACTGAGCAGTCAACCAAGTCAGGGCTAATTTAGCTATTTTGATGCCACTTGAATATGACTACAGTGTTGACTCTTTCAAACAGCATTTGACATCAACAATGAAGAATTACAACTTCCTGTAGGAATAAATACTCATACAGATACTGAAAATGGGTGAGAACGTTCTTCTTGATTTTCACTCAAAAGTGTATGTCCTCATTCCATTGGTAATCCCGCTCATGTAAATCCATGTATTCTTCTCCTCCTTTGACCTCCTTCGAACACTTCCTCTTCTCTCTTCTTGAATTCCTACACTCTACATTCCCACCCTTTCCTCCATTATCTCCTTATTTGCCTCTCGAGCTCTTGCAAAGGATTAGCGCCTAATCTTCTGCCTGTCTAAAATGATATCTGGATGCTTCATTAATATTTCACGAGCCAAGTTCTTCCTTTCTCCCTTCTTTTCATCAACGTCTCCATTGTGTGTCTTAGCCCTTCAATAGTCCTGTTTTCCTCAGTTCCTGCGCCCTCTGTCTTGCTCTTTTCAACTTGTAATCTTTCATAATGATTGTCTGGGTGTCTAAGCGCTCTCTAACGGCTTAATCAATACTTAATGAACAGAACATAAATACTTTATGAAGCCTAAACCCTGGATCCCTGGGGTTTCATTAGCCCTGGAGATGTACACTTCTCAGTCTTTGTGATGGAGGTCCAGTGCTGTCCAGACTACATATGGGTAATCTCCGACAAAAATACAAAATGCATGGTCATGAATGATGACACACCATATCAAACTCCATTTCAAAACAAAAAAATACTTCTTCCATAGCAGTTTGAATGCCTCATTGATGATTGAAACATATATATATATATATATTTTTTTTTTTTATCCAGAGGGAACAATAGCAGACGTTGAGGACAATTCCAAGCGATGGTAACATCCGGAAAAAAGAACATGAAAAGCTTGAGTGGGTGATCGGTGCACTCGGGGCAGTGACCCCGAAGCTAGAAGAGTGGTTACAGCGGATCCCTGGAACAACCTCGGACATCTCGGTCCAGAAATGTGCAGTGCTAGGAACAGCAAAGATACTGCGCAGAACCCTCAAGCTCCCAGGCCTCTGGTAGAGGACCCGAGCTTAGAGAGGGATAACCGCCCGCGGAGGGCCAAAGGTGAGTGGACAATTTTATATATATATTTGACAATAGTAATAATGGCTTTGAACGGTATAATTTAGATTTCCTTTTCTTACATTTTCGTGAGTATATTTGTGAAGCCAGGTACAACATGACGAGCCACAGTATATAGTGCCATCCAAATTGTATGAAAATAATTGTAAATCGCATTTACGTGTGAACACGTATTATTCATTTTTCAGTGCATGCGGTTGAACATATTAATAATATTCATTTTGCGGCAAACAAGTTGTAAGAGCTATGGATGAGAAATCCTGCTTCCTCATAAGGTACATCAGCATTACTTATCATTACCACGCCAACCGGAGGGCTTTTGTGTCTGTGTATGTGTGTCTGTAGGGCAGGACTGCGAGAAAACTACTGGATGTAGGACAACCCCATTCAAGTGCGGAGTATGTACTGTCCTAGTAGGAATATTGTATCACTGGTAGTTCTAAGACTACTGTGAAACTGCCAATGTAAACTACTGTATATATTTCTTATCGCCATTGAAGTAAGAGTGATGATATAGTATTACATTTGCGCTAATTGTCTTGAGACCATCAGGAAAAGAAAACTCAGAGGCAAACCGAGAAATAACCAAATATTTCAAACTTAACCAATTCCCATGGTTTAGATGTAGTGCCTCATGCATAACACTTGACTGAGCAAGTGGCTGACTTTTTGTGTTTAATTCAATTTTGTGACTGAAAAAAATAAATAAAAATCTTCCCTCTGGCTTCAAACACGGCTGCTCACTGTGGCAAAAAGTATAGCTTTTGTGGATAATAGCGACACATACTCATGCGATTGGCCAGTCGTTTTAGCCACAGATGCTTTACCATTACTCAGTCATTCATTTGCATGTACTCATTTTCTGGGAGCTCATCTTCTTTGTTGTTCACAATTGCACTCTTAACATGACATTTTTCTTCATTTGAGTCTAGATTTCCAGTTTCAACGCTGGCTCTCTTACAGTATGAGCTAAAAGGCCCATAACTCATTGCAGAGAACGGCGCGGCTGCCTTGTTCATCTGCCAAAAGTCTACGCCTGGAATAAATCACCAAATTGTGGGACATACACCCTTAAAGAGGGTCATCCAGACTCACAGCAGTCACAACCAAAGAGCTGCTGGTCTGGGCACAGGGTGGAGCTGCACGATACAAGCACGGACAAGACAAGACAGGGATTAAAGCAAGCAATCATCTAAAACAATATCACATCCCAGCTGACCAGGGAGTAGCCAGAAATGTCTCAAATCAAATATAGTTAAAATCCTGCTTCAAAGACTCACACTACCCTATCAGTTCATGCATGGATAAAATTGAAACTATTCATTTCTGGCCAGGTTCCACATCAAATAATTCATTCCCTCGCCTGACAAACCCAGTGCAGTGTATCAAACCAACCAATGCAGTTGCAAAAATTCCCAATGAATAACATGTTTATCTGTGCACACACAAAATACTCAAATGGGCTTTTTAGCGGGCCCAGTAGTCAGATTTGTTACCTTTCAATAAGACCTAAAAACAGAAGAATTGGTTCCGCTCACTCTTTTTGAGAAGTTATTTGTGAGGATTTGTATGTGATTTTATTCCTACTGGCGAGTGTGTGAAAAAGCCATGGATCACTTAAACTGTCATAAACAGAAATGTATGATTCTACATATATCAACAATGCATTGACATGATGTATATGTTCTCTGTCAACAACCAAACCATGACAGTAAAAACACATTATTCAGTTGTAATGTTGAAATATAGCTTTTATGGCAAAAAACACACAAAAAAATGGACAGTAACTAAAGATAATGTAATCGACGATTAGGTCTGCCCCTAGACAACCACCATCTAGTGAATGTTGGACTGTTAATGAACCATTAGTTTAATAATCGATTACATGGCTGATTTCTCTTTTGAAAAAGTTGTGTTTTAGATGACAAAAGAGAGCCAAAGTAGGGCAATTTCAGGAACATCTTCATAAAAGCGAAAAG